TATTTAAATAACATAGGTACCTACTAAATTACTATTACTAAATATTAATAYTATTAAAAATATATAATTCACTTGATCATTCAAACAAAGTGCAAATCATCAATGTTCATAATAATGTTTAAAGAATTTGATTTTCAGGCCCATTCTATTAAGCTACTAAAAGGTTAAACAATCGACTCAATTGAAATGCACTATGTAGATAGAAGCAACTAGTATACACATAATAAATTATAAATAATGCATTATAGTGTTATACCCTATATAGTAAAGTTTTGTAATGGTAATTTCATATTTTTTGTCGGCCACTCAATAGGGCAGTGATCTGAATTTAGGTGACAAGTTAATACATTTATAATGCATATTTATAATGCTAGTAAGTAAACAAACATTTATTGATAACTTTTATGATATACAGTACCTCTAAGTYACTGATTCTTTCTTAATAGGAGTTATATAATAAGTGTGTGTAAAATTTCAATGCCATTTTAGTAATTTTATATAATATATGAAACAAAAATTGATTTTTTTATTCATTTTTGCTTYAAAAAATTTTAATTTTAGAGATATTATACCACTCTCCTATTAGTCTTATTAATACATAGTAGCTAGTTGTAGGTGTATAGAAAATTGTACCTTACTAATTCATAAAACATTATCATCAACATCTTATTATTAGTTACCAAGCATTTGAGGTTCATATTTTAAATTTTGGTTATTTCTATTGTTATGCATTTAATTTGAAAAATAATATTTTACCACAATTTAACGTTTAGTTGGTTACTTCCGTGAAGTAAMAAATGTCACATTAAATATTAATATGATAATAGATATTAATTTACATTATTTAGACATATAAGGTTCAATATAAATTATAAGTGTTTTTCATAGACAATTTAAGCATTAGTATTRAAATTTATAATGTTGGCAAATAGTATACAAAAGATAACCTTACCAATAGCTAATGATTTGTACTTGTTTTTCCTCGTCCATACTTCGTCTACATCATCCATKACTAAGTTCCAGTGTTTGTCAAAAGCAATAATGTATCCTTCACAGTGACCTCGAACAGTCACAGCTGATCGTATGTAGACTTTAACTCGTTGTTTTGTGTGACAAAACGTAGCAATACGAGATAGTGGCCCACGAGATTTGCCAATTTCTGACATACGTGCCAATACAGTTCGTCTCTGTTTTATAGTCCGTTGAACTAATGATACTTGAGATGAGCCGGCCACTAAAATAAACCATTTGCAATATTTTATAGTCATTAATATTTAATAAGAACTTACCAGCACTTAAATCACGTTGTATTGATGCAATATTATATTCATTTTGTCTCTGTAAAATGCAAGTGTTAAAAAGAAAACTGGTTTGTTTTGAAGTATACAATATAAAATTACCCTGGGTCTTTCAGGTTTAATTATGACTTCACCTGTAGGAGTTAGTTCAAATTTAGAAATGTTGTCTAGCGGTTGAGCAGTCGTGCTAGGCACGTGTACGTTTTGTGAGTACAGAGCTTTGATCGGATTGAATGAGGTTGACAACATGTCCAATTCTTCGTCGGTGCTAGACGACATTGCATATTAATCTGAGAACAAGCCGAGACATTATTAAAATGTATCAAACTTCTCAATGTGTTGTTTCGGTGTATGACCMCCTGTGTAAGAACAGGTCACCGTCGAGAATATGTAAAACTATTTTCTTACCAGCTGAATAAGAACTATAAGACCTGAAATATTTCAAACCACAATGTATTGTTGATAAAAAAGCATTACTAATATTAATTCGTTTGTAAAACAATTTTCAAAAATAACAATTTAAAACTTTTTAAAAGAACGATGRTAGGTGATAATATGTCATAACAGTGATAACACTGATAACGATATGGAAAATAAAACGTGACCGACTGACGTATTTGGCGGGATACCCAAGAGTGAGATCTACACGGCGCGATTGGTACTTCAGTCCAACGTGAATGTCTACCAATAGCAAACCGTTAGAGCACGTTGCTGTAATAGAAAATTATATTTAAGTTTTTTTCTCTTTTTTTAGACTTGAAAATGTACTTGAAAGAAAAATGGAAACGAATCTCCATGAGCAGACAATGAACGACAACGGAAGTAGAACATCGCTGAAGGTGAGAAATTGTTTATTTTTAACATTTTGTACCACACAAGTACGTCATTTTAGACAATAATAATATATTTTGCTAATAATACCAAACCTTAAAATAATACGTTAAAATGCATGAAAACTATTCGTGTAGCTACTTTGGTACCTATTACTTATACCACGATTGTATAGAATATCAAGTTATCTGCAACCGTAACATAATATGTCTATAACA